AGTCGCCGTTCTCGATGGGCCCAAGCCAGGACGCATGGTCTGGGGCGCTCGGAATGGCTCTGGCGGGCTTAGCCCCTTCTCTAGCGAGTGCTACCCGAGGGCCGTTTTTTGCACCGACTTCGCCGGCCGCTGGGGTGTTTAACCAACTCTGCGCTGGTTCCCCTTGCCCCGTGCCAGGTCTGGGCCCCTCTGCTCTGCCGGCGCCTGGCCTGCGGCCGCGGGGCACTTAGGCCGACGTAGCCGCACTTCAGCGTGCAGCTGAGCGCACCAGGAAGTGACTGATGAAAGAAAAGGCTTCAGGGTATCCGAAAACCTTAGGAACGAGAAGGAAAATAGCAGGGCTTTTCCGTCCCACTGGCATCCGGTTTCACTCGCCTGCCAACGCCACGATTGTTTATTCCAGATATTCATCCACGGAACCGTTTGCTCAGACACGGCTTAAGCTTTTCAAACAAGCAGGAGCCTCCAATGAAAGGCACCAGCAATGTAGGCGGGGACTCCTCCCAGTGAAAACAGCTCAGGGGAAACGGACCAGCCCATACTCAACAGGGCTTGCGAAGAGTCGGAGCCCGGAGGCAGCCGCGAAGAGGCCATGGCCGGGTTTCACGTCCGCAGCGTCCTGGTGACCGGATCCAATCGGGGGATTGGCCTGGAGATGGTCAAGCGTTTCATTGGGAAACCCAACCCCCCAGAGGTGATCTTTGCCACCTGCCGGGACCCCGAGGGAGCACGCGCCCAGGTGAGACGCAGCCTCTCTGCTTGGCGGGACTTTGGGCTAGGATCCGTTCCCACAAGGGACGGGATGACAGCAGGCGTGGAGGGCCGATCCCAGGAGGACCGAGTGCGTAGCAGCTGCACGTTCCCCTCTGCTCCTGCATCCGCCTGACCAGGTAGAGCGTCTCAGACACGATGGAGCCCGGCACGCTGCCCCGGCAGACACCCGCTTTGCCACCACTCCAGGCTTGCAGGGCAACAGGGCTGTGGTTCCCAAAATGCCCTGCCAGCTGAACCCCCAAAGTGCAGGAGTGCTGCCCAGTCGCCTCCGCTGAGCCCCCAGCCCGCCTTCCCCGGCAGGGCTGGGCCACCCGCTAACCCTGGCTGTCTGCCCAGGGCGGGAGCCCTGCCTGCAAGGCAACTTCCTCTCCAGCCCCTGGCACCGATCTCCGGCAGGTCCCACACACCTGGCTCCAGCCCGAGCACAAACCCCTCCTGCGCAATGAGCAGCTCACTCCACGGAGGGCAGGTCCGTCAGCGGCCCTTAGCCAGGCTGGAGTCCCTGGCCTCTGTGTGTCAGGGGCCGGGAATGGGCAACGGGGGAGGGGTCAGTGGATGGTTCCCTGTTGTGTTCCCTCCCTCTGGGGCACCTGGCACTAGCCACTGTGGGCTGACAGGACACTGGGCTGGATGGGCCTTTGGTCTGACCCCGTCTGTGTTCTTATATTGTGTTCTCACAGGGACACATGCACAGGTGTGTGTGTGTCCACACTTCAGTGACTGTAGACATTGTGGTATCGTCTGGAGAACCACTGAGTTTGTGCCTCGCCGCAGCGGTGCGAATGGAAAGACAGACCCCACCACCAATTTGCGACCCCGTTGGGGGCTGCAGGAAGTGCCTGTTTTGCTCAAATGAGTTTTG